GTATATGCTTCATATTTTTTACTCTTTGCATTTGCAATATTTTGGTAAAACAGTTTCACATGGTGGAGGCGACTTATAGAGTTAGAGAGGCTAAAAAGCAATTGTATAGTGTAAATGGAAGACATCCTAATGATGAAGAAGTTGCAGAGGCCACAGGGCTGTCAATGAAGAGGCTTGCTGCTGTATTACTGACTCCAAAAGCCCCTAGATCTCTGGAGCAGAAAATTGGCATCAACCAGAATCTTAAACCTTCGGTCTGTCCTTTCTCTACTTCCAATGAAGTGGCAATTTTCATTCAACATTTTGTCACCTTTTGTGTTTTAAGTATTCCTTTTCTGACGAGGTCACGTCTTTCTGCACAGGAAGTAATCGCAGATCCCGATGCAGAAACAGCAGAAGATATGCTGATGAAAAAATTCATGAAACAGGACTTGGAGAAGGTACTAGATAGTCTCAATGCAAGAGAGAAACAGGTTGTCAGATGGAGGTTTGGATTGGAGGATGGAAGAATGAAGACATTGCAAGAGATAGGGGAGCTGATGGGAGTTAGTAGAGAGAGAATTAGACAAATAGAGTCATGTGCTTTCCGTAAGCTGAAGAACAAGAAAAGAACTAAACATTTGCAGCAGTATGTGGTTTCATAGGCCTATGTCAATATGGGGATTAAATTGCAAAACTAGCAGGTAGTTCATTTGCTTTGATATTTATCTATATTATGGCTTCTCTTTCCATGTTTCAGAGTGGAAATGTACTATTTTCTCCTTTTGTAATACGAGAGAATATTTGTGCATAGAAACAGAATTTTTTGGATCAAGCATTTCCCATTCTTTTAATGTATCAAAGAAGTACTTAAACAGAAACTCACATGAACAATCTTAAAATCTTACATGTTCATTTTTTATTACAGATGTCAGCTTACTCGTTTCTATTGATTTTACTCCTAGTCCTGGTTTTCTTTCTGTTAATATTACTTTCCTTCCATACCACATGCATTGTGAAGTTGTATTTGAGCATGCACCATTATAGTTTGTTTCCTCAAAGGAGTAATAAGTAGTCAGTTTGCCGACTTAAACATGCTGCACCATATGGTAAGAGCTTCATTGTATCTGGAATTTGCACTATGTTAGTGTGTGGTCACTGTGGAAAGGCACTTCAGTGAATTTCAGCTCGTCATGGTCACTTGTTGGAACAAAGTCACCAGAAACTAAAATGGAAGGGGATGGTCCTTTGGCACAGTTCAAATTCACAGGTCATTTTCCATCAAATTTCCACATGCAATGAAATTCCGGTATGTCTTCTTCAAGATGGCTGATGTGAGTTTTATACTAACATCTTCAGTTGCAGAAGTCTAGTTTATTTGTACAGAAAATTATCTTCTTTTTTGGTTCGTATTTCTTCTAGTTTCTTCTTGTGATTAGAATTATATGATTTTATATGTTTGCATATAGTAAACAATTTTTATTACATATTTGCTTCTAGATCAAGTAATGAGCATGCCAACAGACCAATATTTACAGGTGAAAGTAAATCTCTTAATTACTTTTGGGAGAAGGAATGCCTTATGTGCCCAATCATGTCATGAATATATGTAGCTTTCATAATGTGGAATAATGGATGGAGTACAAATCGTCCATTTCAGATTGTTTATGAGCTTGATCCAAGCAATAAGTGCAATGAGTAGCGCTGCCATAATCCAAGCAGTAAGTGCTTGCACTTTAAGGGCATACCAAACTCCATAGGTGCCACCGAGGGAAACCGACAGGAGAGACATCTGTGGAGTCAAAAAGCCAATGATAGTGGTTGAGACCTGATGATAACATGGAGCCTCCGGCGATAAGAAGGGAAAAAGCATAGCAAAACCTGTAAACACACCACATGGAAAAAACTGGTAATTTCGCCTAAAACAAAAAACAACCAAGTTAATTCATTAAAAAAAAAAAAAAAAAAGAGTTAATTTTGAGTAACTGAAAAAAGTCCCTTCGCAAGAGAAAAAGCGCGACCTAGCCGCCACGTAGAAACTTGAGCTCTCTCAGGACCAGATCGACTGGCTCCGTCGGCTCAGTGTGGCCTTGCCTTCGTGGTGACATGGAAGAGGGATTTCCTGGAGCTTTCCTTCAAAACTATCGGATGACCAAAAGAAGTAGACCCACAACGGAGCCATCTGCTGACTGTGAGATGACTCACGAACAGCAGCCAACGACTCCTGCCGAACTAGCCCAGCTACCAAACCCCTCTACGTTCTCGTGTAGTTTCAAGGATAAACTAATGAACAAGATGAGCATGGCAAAATTTTTTGGGGTTGACATGAATTCTTTGGAGGCCGACTATGATGATTTGAACGACGAGAAGGATGTTGTGACCTCTCGCCAAGAGCGTGGCCCTTGTATCTAGTTCTCTGAGAAAGCTATGACTCGTTTATGTGAGCCTTGGCAAAATGCACTCATAATCAAGCTCCTTGGCAGACCACACACCTACAATTTTCTTCATGCCCGATTACAACAGAAATGGAATCTGAAGGGGGGATGGAAATTAATTGACGTTGTCAACAACTACTTTGTTGTCAAACGTGACTTGGAGGAAGATCTTAACTCTGTACTTACAGGAGGATCGTGGATAATCTCAGGTCAGTATCTAGTGATGCAAAAGTGGCGACTTGGGTTTTGCCCAGCAACTGCCCATATTACCAGGATGGCAGCTTGGATCCGAGTGTCAGCTATTCAATTAGAATGTTTTGATATATGGGCTTTGAAACGGATTGGAAACCTGTTAGGGAAACTACTAAAAATAGCAACATAATAGCAATACGACAACAAAAAAACAGGAACACAATAGCAATACAACACTAACGCAGTAGTGAACAAGGATTCATCACAATCACACTATACAGATCTATTACATCAAATGGAAAATCCCAAGTTTCAAGATTCACATATTCAGAGCAATCTAAATGCAATTGGTAAAAACTCAGATGGATGAGCATGAAGATTCAAAAAACCTAACCGAAAGCAATTAAAGCCAAAACTAATTTAACACAAACCCAAGCAATCAAAATAAAACTCATTTCACATAATCCCACAGATATTGAGAAAATAACCATCAACACTACCTATTCAAGGTCGGCGATCTAGTAGAGCTTCAAGGTTGCAAGTAGCTATTCAGAAGCCATACCTAAAATATGGGGTTGAGGGAGGGGTTCACAATTCAGAACAAAGAGCAAGAGAGCGAATAGGGAGGGGGGGGGGGAGAGAGAGAGAGAGAGAGAGAGAGAGAGTGAGTGAGTGAAGCTAGAGAGAGAGATGGAGAGAGAAAGAGTTGTGCTAGAAAAGAGAGCAAAGAATACCTCCGCCAATATTTTACTGTGACTCCGGCTGACACTATCTTCGGTCTGACGACCGAGGAAAGGGCCCGGGTAAGACGTCTGGACGACTACTTAATGGCCAGGGATGCGTTAGCTAAGGCTAGACAAGCCCTCGAGGAGGAGGTCGAGACCTCGGATCCCCCTAAGACCAAAGCATCCACGGACGATACCCCTAGGACTGCGAGGCCTATGGTCGAGGGCCCCGGCGACCCTTTCTTTGGACACGAGGCTGAAGACGACTCCATATTGGGAATCTCCGACGAAGAATACGAGGAGATCCTCGGGGTGGTTGAGGAAAAAACCCTCGCCAGGGGCGGCTGTGAGGGCAAAGAGGAGGCTGGTAGGGGAAACCAACAGGAGCCAAAGGAGGTCAGCATGAACATGGTCTTGGTGCTACCATCTGAGTTTTCAGCTCCAGGAGGCCAGACCAACGGCCTGGATAATGACGTGGCCGAGGAGCAGCTTGATCAAAGGCAAAAAACAAAGGAAGAGTTGTTGGCCGTAGCTTTTAACGAGGTAATACCCAGGGACAAGCCAAACAAATACCGACACCTCAAGCCATTGTACATCTCGGCTCATGTAGAGGGTGTGCCCGTGTCCAAGGTCTTCGTTGACTGTGGGGCGATGGTTAACATCCTTCCCTATTCCGTGATGAAGAAGCTGGATATGTCAAAAGAGGCCCTTATCCCCAGCGATGTGGTCATGAGCAGCTTTGTCGGCGATAAATCTAAGACCATCGGGGTATTACCGTTAAAAATCACCGTTGCCGACCAGACAAGAGTCGCAGCCTTCTACGTAGTCTCATCCAGTGTGGACTACAATATATTGCTCGGTCGTGACTGGATCCACCAGTCCGGTTGCATACCGTCCTCCCTCTTCCAATTGTTGTTCTTTTGGGACGGCCAGAGGGTATCCATACACCCGGCCGACAAAAAACCCTTCGAAACCAATGCTGTGCAAGCACGGATTTACGATGACGACGTTGGATGGGTTGTCCTCACCGACCACGATGCAAGTGGTCGACCGACCAGGACAACGACCTAGAAAGTGCTGGAGTTAGGCGCCGAGAATGTTTGACAGGATTCGGCGTGCGAAGTATTGATCGACCTCACTAGCCTTTAGATGATAGACAAAACCATTAAAGAAAAGGAAGCGGCGGCCGTGACCGACCTACTGGAAAGACTGCTAGAATATTGAGCGGAGGAATCCTTACAGCCAAACTCGCCGATCAACCTAATCGAATTCCTCCACGAATCAGATAAGGCGGACACTTTAGCCTTTGACGACTTGGAAGCGGCGCCCACCGAGATGGAGGATGACTACCCCGAGGTCTAGGACCCATTATTAGAAATAAATGAAGGGACCGAGTCCAAACCCCGGCCTCTTTTTGTAAGCCAGCTTTTGAACCCTGAATTAGCAGCCGAGATTATCGGCCTGCTCCATGAATATAAGGATTGTTTTGCTTGGGATTATCATGAGATGCCTGGATTGCCAAGAAGTTTGGTCGAGCACGAACTAAAGATTAGGGAAGGGTTTAGGCTTTTCCAACAGTCGCCGAGGTGATTCTCGACCGACATACAGCTTAAGGTCAAAGAGGAAATTGAACGGCTCCTCAAAGCCGGCTTTATCCTCACGGCTCGGTACGTTGAATGGCTGGCTAACATCGTACCAGTTTTGAAAAAGACGGGGGCTTTGAGGGTGTGCACCGACTACAGAAATCTAAACCTCGCGACCCCCAAGGACGAGTATCCCATGCTTATGTCCGACCTCCTGGTGGACGGAGCCGCGAAGCACGAACTCTTGTCTTTCATGGACGGCCACACTGGTTACAACCAAATCTTCATAGCCGAGGAAGATGTCCACAAGACGGCGTTCAGATGTCCAAGCGCAATCAGGACTTATGAATGGGTGGTCATGCCGTTTGGCCTGAAGAACGTCGGCGCAACGTACTAACAAGCTATGAACCTTATTTTCCACGACCTAATTGGCCGAACCTTTGAGGTCTACATCGACGACATCGTTGTAAAATCCCCATCCAAAGCCGACCAAGTGGAGCATCTCCGACAGGCTTTCAATCGAATGCGGACACACGGCCTGAAGATGAACCCTAAGAAATGTGCTTTTGGCGTCACCGTCGGGAACTTTCTCGGTTTCTTGGTTCACCAACGAGGGATCGAGGTAGATAAAAATAAAGCCACGGCCATTATGGCAGCGCCTCCGTCGAGGACCAAGAAGGAACTCTAGTCCTTCCTCGGTAAGGTCAACTTTTTGAGACAGTTCATGTCCAATTTGGCAGGGAAAATCCGGCCGTTGACTCCTCTGCTCAAACTGAAAGACACAGAACGGTTCGTGTGGGGGGCAGAACATCAAGCGGCCCTCGACGACATCAAGAAATATTTATCTCAACCACCAGTCCTTATGCCGCCGAAAAGAGGGAAGCCCTTGAGGCTTTACATTTCGGCTTCAGAGGGCTCTATCGGCTGTCTGCTGGCTCAGAACAATGAGTCTGAACGAGAGCAAGCAGTGCACTATCTGAGCCACACCCTTAACATGGCCGAGCTAAACTATTCACCGATCAAGAAATTATGCTTGACACTTTATTTCGCGGCTACCAAGTTGCGCCATTATATGCTTCCTTCGGTCGTTCAGATCATCTCCAAGACCAACCTCATCAAATGCATGCTCACTCGGCCGATCATACGCGGCCGAATCGGGAAGTGGATGATGGCATTGTCTGAATTCACCTTCCAATATGTGGCTCAGAAATCGGTCAAAGGTCAGGCATTGGCCGATTTCTTGGCCCACCACCCGGCTCAAGGGCAGGAAGAAGAGTTGGAGGTCGAGATCGGCATGGCCCGCATAGAGAAGAACTACTGGACTATGTACTTCGATGGCTCCAGTACCGAGGTCATATCCAGGGCCGGGGTCGTGATCGAGTCCCCCCAAGGACAAAGGTGGCAATTTGCGTTCCAACTTGATTTCAAATGCACCAATAATCAGGCCGAATATGAAGCACTCATCATCGGTCTTGAAATTCTAAAGGAAATGAAGGTGACCCGTGTCCTGGTCTACGGTGATTCTCAACTGGTAATCAACCAACTGACCGGGGAGTACCAGTGCACGAGCGAGAATTTAACCATGTATTATGTGACGGCCCTCAATATGGCCGACGAGTTTTCTAAGATTTCCTTCGTTCACGTACCACGCGCCAAAAACCATGAGGCCAACGAGATGGCCCAGGTAGCGTCAGGTGTGAACATTCCGGACAGCGACCACGACTGCGTGATAAGAATCGAGAAACGTACCCTGCCGGCTTTGGTCGAGCGAGAAATGACGACGCAAGTATCATCGGCCGAAGCCGACTGGCGCTACCCCATAGTAAAATATCTGCGCGATCCCTCCGGCAACCATGAGAGGACTACTCGTTTCCAGGATCGGTGTTATTTGATTTACCAGATCGAGCTGTATCGAAAAGGATCGAAAGGCTTATTGCTCCTATGCCCCAGCGCCGAAGATATTAAGGTTATCATGACCGAATCCCACAAAAGGATTTGCGGCGCTCACCAATTTGGCGTCAAGATGAGATGGTTAGTCCGGAGGCAAGGCTATTATTGGCCAACCATTTTAAAGAACTGTATAGAGTATGCGAAAGGGTGTATCAAGTGTCAAATCTACGGCCCCATACAAAGGGTGCCAGTTGAAGCCCTCCACCGGGTCACTAAATTGTGGCCATTCAGAGGATGGGCCGTGGATATCATCGACAAAATTTACCCAGCTGCATCTAACCAGTACGCCCGGATTTTGATGGCAACTAACTATTTCACTAAATGGGTCGAGGCGAAGTCCTATCGGTCTATTTCCAGTGCATAGGTGGTCAGATTCTTCGAAAATCACATCGTCAACAGATTCGGTATATCCGAAACCATCACGGCCGATAACGGCCCAGTTTTCGCATCGGCCGAGACTCGAGAATACGCCGAAAGGATAGGGATCAAATTGGTCCACTCGACACCCTACTACCCATAGTCTAACGGACAGGCCGAGGCCAGCAACAAGGTAATCAAGGGTATCCTCGAGAAAATGATTAAGGAAAAATCTAGGGCGTGACACCACTTACTCCCTGAAGCCCTTTGGGCTTACCGAGTCTCAAAACGATCGGCTACTGGCACATCCCCTTATGCCTTAACCTACGGCCATGATGCCATCGTTCCGATGGAGTTAAAGGTTCGGTCTCTCCGTGTGACCAAACGACCTGGGTAGGAAGAGAAGGACTATGCGCAGGCTATGGCTCAGGAATTAGAAGACTCGGAGCAATCCAGACTCGATGCTTATAACCTAATGCAGACACAAAAGCAGATCGCGGCGAGGGCCTACAACAGGAAAGTGAAGCAAAAGACTTTCGCCGAAGGCGACTTGGTATGGCGTGCCGTGCTTCCTATCGGGACTAAGGACCCTCGGTTCGGTAAATTCTCACCCAACTAGGAAGGGCCGTTTATTATCGAATGAATTCTTGGCTGAGGTGCATTTCAGTTAAGAGATAGGGATGGAGAATGGCACAACTTGCCAATAAACGGCCAGTATTTGAAGAGATATACCCTGTCATTATAGGAGATGGCCTAGAACGGGTTATGAGGTTTACAATCGACAAAGATGAAAGGAAAAAAAAAGAGAAAAAAACATACATTCGGTCAGAAGAAAAAGGGAGTCATACTTCATTTAGATTAAAAGAATACAAATTTATAAATAAACCCAATCCTAGACATGTATTTATAAAAAAACCCAAGCACTATTTAAACATAGAAACACACCCAAAATCAACCCCAAAGTCAACTTTTTGGGTGTGTTTATAAATGGGTTTTGAGTGTGTGTAATGATGGGTTTTGGGTGTGTTTATATGTTTAAATAGTGCTTGGGTTTTTTTTATAATTTCAACCCCCATTTTGGGTGTTTTAGTGAAACTCCCTTAAAAGAAAAGGGTCACGGTTACAAAAAGAACGGCCGGTCATGGCCGAATGAAACATATAAACATACATGTGCGAAAAATAGAGTACATTCTAAATCTATGAACGGCCGCTTCTTGATCCCCTCGCTAGAATAGGCAGACGATTCTTTCCTAGGTGGTGTCTCCACCGCCCACATCTTCACTGGCCGCGGCCATGGCCTAGGTCGTCACTCTAGACATGGGTACGGCCAGGTTGAGGCCAAAGCCGTCACTCGGGACATAGGCAGGGGCGTCACTCTGGACACGGGTGCGGCCAAGGTGCTAGACCAAACGAGCGTGGCCAAGTTGGAATCATCATACCAGGCCCTCCCATCTTCATCAATCGCATTACAGTTTCTCCACGACCTCATAAGGAGGGAGGTCATTCTCCGCCAGGGTCGGGAGGGAATCTCCTCCACATCATGGCCTTGGCACACGTTGGATTTCCAAGACGAAGGATAGTTGGTGGCCAGCAGGAGAGGAAAAACCATCTGGATCAGGCCACGACGCAAGGATCAGTGGATTTGGCTCAACCCCGATTTTGGAGAAACAAGGGGGCATCAGAGCAGGTTAGAATGGCGGGAACCAAGCACTCAGAAAAAGGAGCAAAGAGTTCAACGTGAAGTTCGAAAAGGTTGAAGAATTGAGAGAAGGATTTGGCAGACTTTGGGCGTCTGAGGATTCTGAAAGCGTAAAGAAAAATGAAGAAGACAAGGCCTTTTATATTGGCGTTAGAATTCGAAACGAAAGGGCATGGCTCTCTCGAGAGACGTAAAGGGCGTGGCTCTCTCGAGAAACGTAATGGTCTGACAGTATGTTCGCATGCGCGATGACGTGTCAAAAGCCTGGAAGCCGTCGTTTCATTTAACGAGACTAAACAACGGCTCGCGCAAGTCTGGGCAATGATGGCCTACGAGACGTGCTTGAGCAATAAATGCGTAGGCATTTAAGGCGCTAGCTGTCAATCACTTCAGGAGGAATGCAAAGGGTTTATCCCTTAGAATCCATTCGGCCTCTGCCCAGGCCGCGACTGAAGAATCCAGGGACGTGGGGGCAATGTTTGTGCCTAATAAATCACGGTCATAAACTGACCGAAGGGACCTCCTCTCGGCCATAGCACCTACTCATGAACTGAAATGGCCACGTTTCATTAGGCATTTCGTCCTCCTGAAAACAAGAGAAAAGTTGCGAAGGCAGAATCCTTGCAACTGCGGTATTATGAGCCAAAGCCGAGGGCCATAAAAGACATGGCCAAAGGTACTGCGGTCAAATTGCCACGTGGCCTCAGGGTCCCACACCCCATTTAATGAAATAATGCCTCTGACTATTGTAGCAAGCCCACTAGTTGCAATAAGCATTTAATGCACGAGGGAAGAAGGGAAGTGACTGAAGTCAGGATTTGGTAATAGAGATCAGAGTGGTTAGGCACAAGCACTCTCACAAGTATGCTTACAACTTGAGGTCAGATCACCAACCACCAGACCAGGGCATGAAATGCATTACCACGGCCAAGGGGGCAGAACCCACGATCAGGGCGGTGGCCGAGATTTATCCAGATCCATGGGAGTCACACCACCATGCTTCACGATCCCAAATGCCGATTTGACTACCCACTTACCCCGATCAGGCTCCACCACGTAGATCTTTTCAGCCTTGATTGTCCCTTTAGGACTCCCCCTATAAATACTAAGCTCAAGACTACATTCAAGGGGTTCAAACACAAACCAAAAGCCTCTCACAGAGCAAATTATATTTTCCTGTAATGCACTTTCAATACATTTATTTGCTTTCCTAGGAGTAGTGGTAGATTGTAAGGAAAATCCATTCATCAATATATCATACGACCCTTGATTTTCAAGGCGCCGGAGCACCATCTCTGTT